TTATTTCAAAAATATATGGATTATAAACTACTTACTTATGCGAGGTGTTGGCCTTTAGCGTGCGACTCTCATCCCTAAGGTTGTAGGTTCGATCTTCGGTTGTCCACTTTCTATCTTTGTGCGCATTTAACACTTGCTCGTACGTTGAAGGAAAACCTTGTTAGGAAACAGGGATCCCTTAGACTAAAAAGTCGACGGTGTCTGGCACAGAATACCAAAAAAACAAATGATGACGAGAGAGATTTTCTGTATCTGTTGAAGCACCAAAAACATGCACTGTTTTTATTTTTACCTGTATTGTAGTGTTGATTCAACGTCGATGGATAGATAGATTGTAATTTGAATTGAAAATTTCTCCGCAGACATTATAATAAGGCTAAAAACAAAAGCATCTTGACTAAATTAGTCTCTAGAGAAATCATAGCAGCACACGGCTAAGGATTTAATTAAATTAACATTGACTTGTAAGCTCCAACTAATTAGCTGACGATGGAAGGGGAACTTTCAATTCTTTTAAATATTTATATTTTTCCGGTTTTAAATTACGGTATTGCAGGTCTCTTTAAGTACAACGTATATTATCAGATATAACGTATGTAATGGATTTTTATTCTAATGGATTTTATTATTCAATACGTTTTACCTGGAAGAACCGACAGTGAGGTCGCTCCGTGAAGCCTGTGAAGTGACTTCTGTGCTTCATAAGGAGCTAGGCTGGCTAAACTAGCCACGACTTTACGATTAACCAATTATGAGTCTAAGTGCGGAAAATCAGTCCACCAACCTATAACCTATATACCCGGACGGACTGGGTTCGGTGCGTGGGAAAATAATATTTGTTTCAGAGGCAGGCTTACATAGACGGATTGTTCAGTATCTCTTACATAACGCTTATGTTTAGAATTCAGGGATTTAATGTGAATGCTTGATAGTTTGTAATTTTGAGATTACCTTTGTTACTCAATATTTATATATTAAAATGTTCTACGCAAATCAATTATTTGTTATGTTCTTAATAAAGTAATCCAACCATCATAAATCACTATTACTTTAGAATATTGTTTATGTTAAAATAGCCCCCCTTAGGAATACGCGAATAAAATTTTACATATACCATTAATTGACACGGATTCTCACTTTACCTAATGTATAAATACTTTTCCGGTGTACTTATGTTTTATGATTGATGCTGCGATTAAAACTTTTCGCGTCAGTTGATATTTGTATTTAGGTCAAAGGCCGTGCGATTCGCAACGGCTCCAGGCAGGCGACTCACAAACAACGAATTAAAGATATGAAAGTAGTTGGCAAATGGATCGTTACAAAACTTTATTTAACTGACTGAAAATCTCCATGAGGAGGAAGGGGGAGGTTCACAATGCGACGATAACATACAAGTTATACCTAGACATCCAACCCGATAAATGGGCCAGTAGGAAGTTTTATGTGATTCGGTGAATACTTTAAAGATATTAGCTGAAATGTCTAGTGAACCCTTTAAATTTGCATGAGGAAATTGGCCTCCTAGGATTAATATTTTTGCAATCTATATCAATGAGTACAAATAACATTATGCAATATTATTAAAAACATTTAAAAACAAGATTTTCTAAAAAATCCTTTTTATTGAATTTTAACTGACAACATCTTCGTTCTTGTATTTCGGTCAAGCAGCTAGGTGTATTAAACAGTGTTGTATAACATAAAGCAGAATTCGAAAGAATTATGCAAATAAGATTGTTAGAGCCTATAACAAAGTAAGTCGCTGGCAAAGATTTTTGCCAAACTCAATTTTCGCGCAAAACTCTGTCCCTTGTTGAACAGTCAATTTTATTATTTATAAATTGTCTTACGAGGTACGTTTTATTTCGTCACTTGGACATTCTTTCATATTGTTATGAATTCGAAACAACTCTGTATGGTTTTTTTGCTTAGGTTTTCATTTAATTTTAATATAAAATTGTTGTAAGAACAAATTCTAATAGGCTATAAACTATTCAATAGGTGTCGCAGTAATTGGATTAAATGAAAAAAATAGGATATGAAATGGTTCTATATAAAATAACGTTACTATGCTTAACGAAATATTGGGACAATTAAGTTTCAAAGCCTATAATTGATCAATGCTACGACTGTTCATCACGCCGCAATCAACCGTCGACCAACCAACCGACCGACTACCTTGTCCATAAGTCATCAAAATACGACTAATGAAGTATGTTCATAACTGTATATTATAGTTATTCCTTCCAAATGTTGTTTCGGCCTTTTCGATAATTAAACAAATAAATCAACAGGATTGATTACCCAGATGTTGACAGGTCACGGGTCTTGTCGTATCTTTACAGGTTCAGGGTTAGACAAAGTGCTGCCTGTCCTTGTAGCAATACAGCTGAAGAGATGGTGTTCTGACCGACTGTCCAATGTATGGATACGACAGGTATAACACTGAGCAAGCTATGGGCATAAAAGTAACAGAGACGAATTTAAAGGAAATAATGTTCAATATTAGGTTAAGAGGAATCTTTTTGGGATTTGCTGTAAAGGTCATACAAAAAGTTGTTAAAAGAAATAGGTAGTGTTTAATCATCTGGGTTACCATTTACGGAAGCTATTTAATACCTCCATACGACTACATAGTCGGGGAATTATCTAGATAACATTTAAAAAAAACTATTTGTTATAAACAAAGGATTCAATATTATTCGTAATATAATGTAATGATTGATACTGTGATATATGATTATCATAGCTTCATAATCTGTCACTTAACACTATACAGATTTAATGGTCGTTGGATGATTTAAAGATTATCTTGTAGACTGACTAAAACTGTTATAAAAAACTGGTTTTTTAAATCATGCATAACTGTATTGTTAAAATAAGAATATTTTTTATACGGAAAAGAATATTATCAGGTTTATGTATCTGGAAAATTAAATAAAACACCCTTAATTTTTATAATTTATTTTTCAACCTAACATGTTCGTAACTCGATCACCAGCTACGTTAACAGATGTACTTTACCTAATGAACATTGTTCATACGTCTTATAATTATTACAGTCAGTACCGACAAAATAAACATTATCACGAAACTTTCATTTATCACGAAAATACTATTCTTAATGTTACTAAATTCCTTTTACTCAATTCTTAAGAGCTTGTGAGAAAAGAACTACATATGATTTGTGATAAATATCTATTGTTAATATATTCTTTGAAAATGTTAAAATTCTTAGATAAGTATTAAAGGTTGGAAGACGTTGTGTGTAAGAGTGTAGATGGGGTCTTGTAGTCTCAGGAGAAATAGAAGACAAAGAACATATTGGAATGACACTTTTTAAGCTTTCGTGTATGATTTAGAAATAAGCTAAACTAATGAACATCAATCGTAATGTTTCTATGTAACGCCTACTCTACACACATAAAACTCCATCGCAAGTTATATTATTATTAGAAATAGGAAAGGCACAGTCGAAGTATAAAATTTATTGCTGAGATCCCTAACTAGTATGCTCGACTATTCGTAACAATTTCTACCGACACATATAATATATCTAAAGGAAATTATAGGTTACACAGATGGAACCTTGAGTTTTATAACAGGAATTATCAAGTGTGTCAACTACCGAATTTTTTTTACTAAAATCTATTACCCACTTACTTGCATGCAAATAAGACTTAACGTGTTTGAAGTGAGAAATCCTCGGTCACCGTGGCCTCAAATACTCTTCTTTACTCAGTATTGTATCGTTCGTTATAAATTTTATAAAACTCATGGTAAATCTTCCGATTTCAGTGATGTAATTACCATTCATGTATTTTTATATTAATTTCAAATCCTAACAAAGACTAGACTAGACAAATAAAAACAGTGGAGAGAAATGTTTACTATGTTGTACAAATTCTTATTTGTAGTGAGTTTTAATATTATTTGGCACATTTGAGTTCCTAAGAAGGTAAATTCAATAATCTACATCAGACTACTTTAGTTTACGAGAATTTGTAAAATCGATTTAGCTTCTCGAGATATTGCAATATTGAAAATATCTTAAGTTAAATCAAGTTACGTTATGTGCGTATTCATAGTAAATATTAAGTTAAAATACATAATTCTGTATGAAAATAGGAATTCATTTATATTCAGAAAATATAATTTTGTTTAGTGAGACAAATATTACCTTTCAATTCGCGAACATTTGGTTCTTGTAGAATTCTTAAGTACATTAATAATAGTGTCAATTATTTATTTACTACACATCTAAACAGTCGTTTACTAGAAGTTTGCACTAAATATACACAAACAATTTTAATATTTATAGGCTATATCCAAATCGTTGACTTAAATCATAATTTCAATGATCAGAAACCCGTCATATAAATTTTATTAATTTAAAGTCTGCTGACTAAGTACATGCAAACTAAAATACAGCTAATAATTACACAGATATAAGAAAGTTTAACAATCGTTCATTCAAGACACTGAAAGTTAATACGTAACATATTACAAACCATCAGATTCGTTGAGGTTCATTTAATGTCTTTACATTAATTAACGAACAAAATAACAACAAGCACCATACTAAATAACGAGAGAAAGTTTCAAACAAACTCCAGCATCAATAGAAAATATACCACCACCACAAATTGACTAGTTCTAATAGCTATCTACCTAATTATACATTTATTCAACTTAAACTTATTAAAGTCTGTTCTTGAACCGGCCGCAAGTAGAAAACTTAGATTCTAGATAAGGTAAAGGTAAAAAGGGAGTGTAAATGATTCCAAACGACATAACACTTATTCACAAAACCACTCATAAATGTTCATTTCACAAAATCTCAGTAACAAGTTGAGGCAACCGAGTTCAAGCTTCTATAGTCTTTTACCGCAAATCCTTGAATAGGAAGAGGATCAGGAAGAGCAAGAGGGTCCACGGGCATTGGGGTGGGTTTAAATGTAGACTTCATGGTGTTGCTGCGGCCGGCCATGCCTGGACTAGGAACCACGCTCTGATAACTCCACTATGTCATCAGGTTCTGGTCGCACGGGGTCTATTTTCCTTCTTTCCGCTATGACATTTCTAATTTTTTCCTCCTCTGTTATAGAAGGATCGGACCTTTCTGCGTTTGACCGAAATGAAGCGCGACTCACCTCACTTGGCGTCGCAGATTCTGTGGAAAGTCTACGCTTTGTCTTATCTCTTAAGCTCTGTCTGGTAGAAGGAACTGCAAGTAACACTGGAGCTGGACGAAGCAATCTGGCTTCCTCACTCCGAAGTGAACTTCTCTTATCAACTCGTTGTCTACGATTTTGGGCGAAAGAGTCTCGTCTTGGGGGGCTTCCTGGCTCTAATTCATCCACATCGTCTGCATCTATGAATCGGGCATCTTCTTCATATAAAGCAGGAGCATCTGTTGTCGATTCCTGTCGCCGTCTGCTAAAGGCATGAGGAGATAGTGAGGCTCTTCTTTGTGGAAGAGCAACTGGCAATAAAGCGTGATGAGAATGTAATGTTTTTCGGCGGCGTGGAGATGGTATGATCTGATGTTTTGGTTCACTGTATGTAAAATTAGCGGGCAAAGAAGGTACCTTATTTAAAGGCCGAGGGGGAGCTGTACATTCTTCAAGTGCTCTGCAAAGAGCTCTGTCTTCTTCATCATCTGCTTCTCTTTCCAGTTCACGCTCGAGTTCAACGTCCATATCGATTTCGTCTTCCATTTGTTTGTGGGATTCTTCTAGGTGTTTCATAAGTACCTGTTAGAGTTATAAATAATTACCTTTAGTCGTGTTCGAACTAAGTATTTAAATAACGTAGTTTTTAAATACTTACAGCCACAACAACGTTGACGAGGACAAATTGGGCCATCAATACAAAAACAACAAAAAGATGGGTGCGATAATAGTAGAGACGCAACAATTACGCACACAGTCTACAGTACTGTCGCAGTCTTCTCTCAGTGTGTCTTTCATTATACCGTTCCAATTATCGCCGGTCGCCACCCGGAATAACGTTAGAAATGCCATTCCGAAATTAGCAAAGTGGGCATGTTCACCGAGACCTAAAAATAGTGGTACAGTAATAGTGAAACATAATTGTTATATATTATTCATTTTCCGCCCACTTTTTGAAAACAACTATTTAAATGTAGAGCTAAAGTTAGAGGGCATCAATAGTAAAAACATTACCTTGGCAGGGAATTTCATCTGAGCATTCTAAACGACCAAACAGTTCCACGCCTAAAGCCGCAAAAATGAAAAAGAGTAGAAAAAATAATAATCCCAAATTCCCAACTTGTGGAAGAGCTTGCATCACTGTGTCCAGCAATGCCCGTATCCCCTTTGCCATCTTCAATAGCTTCAATACCCTTGCAATCCGAAGAACGCGCATAACTCTCATTATAGTTGGATTAATGGGTATTATATTAGTCTCTAGCTCTTCTAAAACAATACCAACGATGGATAGTATAACGATGATTACATCCAGTTGGTTCCACTTGTCTTTCAGGTAAATCTTGAAGCCGAGTGCAACGAGTTTCATCACCGCCTCGAGAATGAATACGGCAGTGAAGAAATAGTTGAAAATTTTCAAAGCGTACTGCAGTGCGGGTGGCATTCTGTAATATTCTATTGCCATAGTGACAACGTTCAGACCAATGACACCGGCAATGGCTAAATCAAAGTATTTCGAAGTAACAACGTTGTGCACAAACAGGCGTGTTTGTGAATAGTCGGAATAGTACGGCCTTTGATGCATCTCTGGAATCAAATTGAATTTCGTATCAATATTTTAGAGCGGCATTTTATCACTTTTCGCCAGTGTTTAAATCTAACACTTTTATATTTGTAATAACTAATAAATTTGTAAAGTACCTTAAATGGACATTAATTAAAACAGTCAATTTTTACTAACTTCGTCTCTTTTTCTCCATCTGTAACGCTCTTTTTGCTGCTCTTCTCACTCTTTCCTCTTTCTCTTGTTCTTCTCGACATCGATGGAAGTTCTCAACCACAACTCCCACAAACATGTTCAGAACAAAGAATCCCACTAGTAGGATAAAAGCAATGAAGTAGAGAAGACGCCATTCCGAGTAGTTCACTATTGGCTGTTGATAAAAAAAGATTATATTGTGCGTACACAATTAAAATGCAAAGGATTTTTGCGTGTTACCTTCTTCTATAAAATATATATTTTTCATAACCATACAATTTGACACATTAATATTTAGCAAAGTTATTAATTTATAGAAAATAAGTTTTTACTAGAAACATAAACCTTTTTTTCAGCAATAAATATTTATTAACGACTATATCATCCAACCTGTTGATCAACGCCGACCGCATCGAGTCCTGTATACATGATATTGACCCAACCATCCCTCGAGCTGAGAACGAACAACGACATCAAAGCCTTCCCGAGATCATCGAAATTGTATTTCCTGTTCACCCACACGTTCCCCTCTATTGCCAGACAATCGGATTTGTTCTTCACAGTCTTGATGTTGGCGCCTTCACAATAGAAGAACGCCCCTTTGAACAGCTAAAAGGAAGGATTTCGCTTTTAGAACCTAATGAAAACTAGCCGATAGTGGTCGAAGCCTTTTAAAATAGTATTATAACAATTATGTATCTGTAGCAGTGGTAACATATAAAATTAATATTAATTATTTTTAATATGAGAAGGAGAAGGAGAAGAAGCTACGCCAATCCTCTCGCGAGATTCCCGACACAAGAGAAAGCTAGATAAGTATACAAATCATGTGAATATAATAAGATGCTGCACCACAAGCATCGAGGAGATACCTAAATAAATAAAAACTTACGTTACATTTCATATTACCAATGAACTGAATAAATATGATTTCATTATAGTATGTCTACATTAAAAAATGGTTTATGGTGGATTATTTGATATACAGAATGCGTCGAGTGAAAATCAATTACCTGAACTCCCAGAATGCCAAATATTATGAAGAATGTGCAACATATTAACACGATATTTCCGATAGGTCGTAATGATGATAATAACGTTTGAACAACCAGTTTTAATCCGGGAGCTCTATTGATCACTCTCAAAGGTCGTAAGGATCTTAACAACCTGAACACCTGTAAAATTAAAAGGTCACGTAAAACCAATTTTATCTATTTAAGAGTGGCTCTCGGGTTTTATTATTCTTAGTGCTTATTTTAAGGAAAACTTTGTCTTAACAAAACCATGACTCAAACGTTATTGTTTTACACGTAGATATTTATTTATTTCTTTTAAAACCAAGGCATTTGACCAAATTAAGAATCACTTTCTTTTGTTTTTAAATTCGTCAAATTGTTTTTAAGATAAATAAGTTATAATGTTTTAACCGGTTCTCTGATCAAACTCACTTCGTCAAATTTCTTCACCACGAAGAAACACATTTGTTCGAATGTTCTGCTTGCGATCACAACAAGATCACAATCTTGCTTTCGGTCTTAAAAGTCGATGATTTCTATTTTCTTATAAATAGTTATGGAAAGTGAGGAATAGCTATAGAATCTAGTATCCAATAACGTGTTATGCACCAGACTATAAACGATATGATATCATATTTACTTACTCGTAATATTCCGAATATCCTCGGGCTCGATTCTGATACTAGAGACATTAGTAAATCGATAATAGATATGATCACTAACGAGCCATCCATAATATTCCACCCCGAGGTGAAGTATGCCTCAGAGCCGTAAAACATTCCAGATGCCACAACCTACAGATTTCATTAGATTAAATTTATATCGATTCTAGAGTAATTTTATTATTAACTTTATAAAAGTCAAGACATGTTTGTCGTCAATTAATAATATATTTTTAATATCGTAATTAAAATGATGATTCCTTTCAAAATTTTTGAACAAATCTTTTTATCCTATTAAATTAGAATTTGCATATTTTCGCTGCCAGTAGCGAGCTTAAGATCCGACAAAATGTGGTCAACGATATTCTTTACTTGATGCACTTACTTTGAAGTAATGTTAGTGAAAGAAACTTGCCTTTATAAACATTTCAACGGCAAAGACCACTGTGAATACATAATTAGCACTCGATAAAAAAGCTCTCTCCTTAGAGTCTGGTGGTATATTCGGTCGCTCCATGGCAAGTGTGATGCAATTAAGGGCAATGAATAGTAGCACTATATTGTCAAACCAACTTCGGGTTACCATCCATGTGCAAAATCTTCTTATCCTGAAGAACGATTTTGAAATAAGACTCATACGGCGTTATATTGATAGGATCGAATTTGAGGAAAACCAATATCGCTAAGTGACCAACTTAATTTGTTAGTTGGTCGTTTAATGTTTTTGTGCTTTGCTAAACGTAGATTTAAAACCTACAGGCACATTTTATTTCTTTTACATTTACGATGATCTTTAAAATTAAATTAAGAAAGTTCAATTCGCTTGTCTGGACATTAACTGAACTATATACCTAAACTGAATGAGAATCAGCGATTGCAGATATTTACATCTTACTAAAATTTTTACTCTATTGAAACTTTTATTTGTACGACACGAACTATGTAAACTGATTACGTTCTTACCATTTCAAATAAAATCTTAAAAAGCATTTTTATTAATAATAAATATTTGAATTGGTTATAAAAAAAAAGCAAAAGATATAGATATTAATCCTTTCGCAAATCTATTCGCATACACGCTTGTTGTTCTTTCTGTTCTGCTTACTTAGCACAAATGGCTGTTATCATCTCAGTTTCTATTCAATTTGTTTACATAATCTCATACAAATAAGGACATCCAAAGTATCAACAATCTATTTCCCCTCAAGGTTATGAGGAGGGTTAAGCAGTTTCATGTTATTGACAAATTATGAAAGGGAGACTAATAAGGATTAAAGGAATTCTAAGAGGTTATTGCTACCTCTTAGAATCCGCAATCTCCGTTAATTGAAATTCCTACAATATTGTGTTACGTGTAATTTTAGACCGTTTACGTATTCTAAGATTGGAAGTAAATGTAAAATTAACTAAGTAATTAACTTAGTATTAATCAGTAGTGTTATATTATTAAAATAATGTAATGAATAAACAGCCACTTACTATGAATACAGTAAGTATTTTCTTATTGTCTTTGTTTGTATAGATTATTTTGTATTAGACTTATTGTCTAGAATAAATAAAGTAGCTCGTAATAGTGTTACGTCTACGTTCTCTGCTTATTTCATTGATAGTTTATAAGGAACCGCTTAATTTATTTCTAGTATTACAAAGGACTTATTTATTAACATGTTTTAACATGAAACACTTACCAATTACCCGGAGAAAATATGTAAAGAGAATAATCCTCTTTTTCTTTAAGACACCCTGTCGGCTCCATAAAGCGAAAAAGATCCTTAAATCTAAATCTGCTCCGGTCGAATCTCGATGAGAATATACAGACATTATTTATCGCCACCTGTAAGTAATTTAAACTTGGAAAATCTTTTCTTAAGAATTAACAACGAATTTTATGTGGGAGTAACAAGAATTTTCTTTGTTTAACATTGTAAAGAGCTTTTTCATTTTATTTTAATATTTGTAAATTTGATTTATACTAGTGACAATCGAAAGTACGCGTTGATAGAGATATAGTGTAATAACTTAAGTCAATATGTGAATATGTTTGCTTACTATATTTTAATTTATAGTAATTAACATGAGAACCGAGAACAAAGTCAATTTTATTAGCCGAGTAGAGAAGCGTGTATACAGCTCTTATAATAAACAAAGGTAATGTCATCCAATTAGACGCGAATGAATAAAATGAAATGCAGGGGTAAATTATTTTACATATTTTTGTTAAGTATTGGAAATAGTATTTGTTACATTTCATAAATTAAATTATATCAAAGTAATAAGTCTGCTAATAGCGTCTGTTGCATTGTTTTGACGTTATAGCACCGTTAAATAAAAGCCGACAATTTAATTGTCTGCTATAATGCCTATAACGATTAAAATCAAACCTTTATGTATTTAAAAATACTTATTTCAGGACGGCATTTTATATGACGTCAGACTTTTAGGCCAGACACACCGTAACCAGTGGAGAAGGTTTTCCGGTAGCTTAGGCGCGAAACATACCTTCGCCTTTTCTGTGTGTTTCGCGCCTTAGGGAATAAAATCGAACACTTTGATTATTAGTAGACCAAGCTGGAACTTGACAAGTTAGGGAAGTGATACTTAAGTTGAAGACATTTTCTTGCTAATATGCCTCGTTTGAATATATACGTCAATTTGAACTAAATATAAAGACTGTAACAACTAAAAAGATATCTACTGTAATTTAAAAACAAAACACTTATTCGTATTTGTTTTTCGTTTTTGTTTATTTTAATTTTTGACATTTGTGTTTAGAGATTTACTTTTGAAATGTACCTACTCGAAATTTCGAGTAATGTAATAAATCCACGTTAACGAAATAAAGAAGTTTTTCAATCTTATACAAAATTTCAAGAATGAAGTACGATTGGATTGACGATACCTTTGTTTAAAAGATACATACTTCTGCTAAGTCGTTTATCAGTAACAGACACGAGTTGTTAGTAGAACATTAAAGAACGGTAATTTGTCTAGCGGTTCAGAAAATAATTGGTTAAACGGTTTTGACATTTAAGTTTCTCCATTCTTTTAAAGCGCACGAAAGGTCAAGATAGCGTGACAATCTTCGTCTTTTAAGTAGCTTACTTGAAGTGAGATTTAAGTTTAAGAATACACGATTTAATTTGTAATATTTCATTCCTTTTATTTATTTGAAAAGAGAATCGAGTGTGATAAAGACAAGAAATGTAAAAGCTATTGGCTTAATGTAGATTTAAAAAAAAATGAGATTGCCCATTCTGATTCCAGGTGAATCATACATTTAAACAAAACATACATCGTACTTTGGGCTATCATTAATTGAATGCAACAAAAATATATTTCTATTCATATAAAATCCTATATTGTTCAAAGGTAAACATTGTAAGGGAAAAGGAAAATGTTGGCTACCTCCCGATATTTGTTCCTGTTACCTCGTCAACCCTTGACGTTTGAGTGACGTTACATTCATGTTTTTTTTATATACATATACAGATATTTTTCTAACTATTTTGCATAAAATGTTTTAGTTTTAGTTAATTAAAACATGAACTTTTTTATCATCAAACATTACGTTGCTTATAGTTCATTTTAATTAATTTGTGCTATTATAAATAATTTGTACGACTGCTGTGATTTGTATTTGTTGTTTGTATGACTGCATTTCAGTACATATGTACGTAGTGCCTTTGTTGGTGGAAGTAGGACAAAGAAATCATATTCAAGAAATGCACAATGTAAAGTTTATAATATAGCACATGAACTACACTTGAAAAAAGAAAGAAAAAAAAACTTAACAAACATTTTACGCAAAATAATTTTGGCACTATAAAATCGCGGGTGAAGTCGCGATCAGCAATGCATCGATTATATGTAAGGCACAAATAATAGTTTTCACTTACCTCTTCATTAATTTGTTTAATTAATGGTAAAGGTTGGTTATTTGCTTTGGGCAATGCTTCGTTAAGGGCTCGGGGCGGTAATTGCTGTTGACCGCTTGGTATTAAATTACTCGCTTTCACCTCCGACACTGTTGTTACTAAAATCGAAATTTTCACTTTTAATTGTTAGCTTGGGTATTTATACAACACATTGTATTGTAGTTTCTGATACTGTTTGCATAATGAGGGTTATTAGAACATGGGAGTGTTTTAAAAATAAATAAAAGGTGTGAATGGCGCGCAAAGCGGGCGCGGCCACAGATAAGGAAACGGTTTAATATGCCATAGATATTATAATCATATATACCAAGTACGTACTAATACTAGGAAGTATGGAATAGAGTATAAATGTCAACACAAATGTGAATGTTATATATATGTATACCAACAATTTGTCACTTGCTAAGCTGAAGATACTCCATGGAGGCTGTCGGTTTGGTCGCAAAGCTCCGATTACTCACTTTAGATTGATGGTAACGGCACAAGGGATTTCTAGGCTAGCTCTTTGATCTTACGCTTTGGCGGCACTACACACTTTTTCCGCGTTCGGTTAAACTGAACGCATAAAACCGCTTGAGATAATTATATCTCTAATTATAAACCTTGAATCTATCAGTAGCAGACTGAGCAAGACCAAAAAAAATCTTATACTGTGGAAACTATTGACAATAGACCAAAATAGAGCATAAATCTAACTTGTCAGTGTTATATTTAAAAAAAGAAATATCCAGCCTATTAAATATTTTGTTGAAATTCTATTTACTATCATACTATACTAAGTATGCATAGTGCTAGCAATGGATTGAGAAAACAGTATGTTATTTTGTTCTAAAACTATATATCTTATTAAATTCTCTATCTTACTATCATATTATCTTTTGCAGGTAAAATGATTTTTATACAAACTTACAGGAAGGGGAGACGTTTAACCGCAGTGGGGCCTAAGCATTAGATTATAGTTTCATAGTTTAATGAATTACCTGTCAAAAGGTCATTAGTTAAAGACAGTCTGTGGGGAGGTGCTTTGGCATCTAATCGAACAGTTGAATCCGACGAAAAACCCGCCTCTGGAGCTTTCCACGATACCTATGAAATATATTAGATAAGATATTGAATTATTATAACCTTTTAAAATATCGTAATTAATTTATTAATCAATTAAACTGTCACTACGCACGGGTATTAAATTATTTTGTGTACATTTCTATACGAGGAAATAAGATAACCTCTGCTCCACCACCACTAAGATGTCGAACAACAACATATAATCCTTATACTTACATCAGGTAGTATAGGTGTTGCATGGGCGGAAACTCTTCTCGCTGGTGGAGCCAAAACTCGCACTGGGAGCTGGCCGCGAGATCTATAAGGCATCTCAGACTGCGTATCATTCTTTATGACAATAGACGATGAAAGCAGAATGTCATTTCTTCGTAGACTTGAACCTGGAATATTATTTACATTAGTATATATGAAATAGAAGACTGCAAGTGGAATCTAATATTTATTTTTAGATTGAGAGAGGCGAATTAATATTTCAGGTAAAACAATACAAGTTTCTAATGCCTTACTAACTGACAAGAATTTAGCACCCTTTAACATATATAATTCTACCGGATTTAAATGCGTTTAGTTATTATAGAGAGAGATATATCAGGACAAGTGGGCTGTGGTCTTCTACCCCTTCGGGAAGAAGGCGTGGGTGGAATTATTACAATCGTGGAAAATTAATTTTAATGTCTTGGGTTAATTTAAAAAAATATACTTAAATGTGTAAATATCTTTATCAACGGGTTTAAATTGTTAAAATCCTTTTTTTTTGTTTAAATTGTTAAAATTCTTATTAAAGATGGTAAAATTTGAGAAAGATATTATTAAAATGAAAATGAATCTCAACGACGAAATACAATCAAATATAAATACCATTGCAAGCAATGTGATCTCGTCCATTATTCAGTATAACAGCGTCAGAGTCTGAGCCTGTTCTCTGTTTCTTCTTTCTTAAGCTTGGCCTGGACAACCTCCAACTGTATCCACGCTGTACCCTGCATTTATCTTCTCCATTTGGGGTTGGTGTTGTAATGATGAGACTTCTAAATATATTTACATTGTTCTTGTTAAATATACAGAATATGGTGAAAATTATAATTTAAATACTCCTCATATATATAAGATCTATGATAAAATATTTTAAATTTCTATATTATTTAACGTAAAAGTTTCTTTCCTGGACATTTGTAAATTATCTGACTTGACTTTACTTTAAAATAAAAAAAAATATTAATTAAACAAAAGCCCAGGATACATTGTATTATATTTTGACTATAAAAATCAAAATACATCTTTATCTTACCTTTGTGAATTCAGCAAGCTGGATTTTTCGCTAACATTGAGACAGTTACCCTCTTTAGCTATTGTAACTTGGAGGTTCTTCTCCGGTATCATCGGCGAAGGGAGAGACTTTGGTGTTGTTGGAGTACCAGGTGAAGTGGCTCTGGATGGCGGTAGTGCTAGGGTTAGAGGTGGAGGGGCTAAAGAGACAGGGAGTCTGGCCTTTTCGGCCCCTAAAGCGGCTGCCGCGGAATGTAGGGTTAGGGTATAACTATTTGGAGGCTTTAGCAAACCTGGTATACTGGTACACTGTAACAATATATTGTAATTATAACGGCGTTATTGAATATAGTACGCTTGCAGTATAAGTATAAAAAAAAATGTTATATACTAATCACTGGTTACTTGCATTAAGAGTATGAATGATAATTATTTATTGTTTTATAAAGGATATATGATATTTTACACATTACGATACATGTCTATACTTATATTGTAGCAGTGGTATCGAGAGATTCGTTCGAAATATATTCAAAGAAAACACTTGTGATGCAATAAACTAAATTCAACAATGCCAATAAAATTAAACTAACAATATTTATTTTTTATATATTTCTATAAAATACGTGCATTTGTTTTAATGTACCATTGACTTTCTGCGAGTATTACACCTTAAAATACATAATATATAGAGCCAGACTCTTGCAGCCAACGATTGCTGAAAATCACTCGAATCGTCAAGATGCTTTATAAATTCGCTATTATGCTTTAGAAAGACGTACTAAATCCCCAATGATAAAAAAATCTGTCAAATGTGGTTTTTAGGATTCTCGTGTTGTTCAAATGTATGTAAGTAATCATTTTAGAACTAAAACTTACGGAAGTTCGGTCGATTGAATCCAAACTGGATAACATTGATGATCTCTCCAAGCTAAGAGCTACTTTGAAATCTTTGAATGATGCTCCAGGCTCTAGAGTAGTGGACGGTGAGTCTTGAGGTGTCGCGGCTGTGTGAGTGATCATAGGAACAACTGTACTGTTGCTGTGTTCGTTAATTGAACTCGACGCTAGCAATTTAGATTCCTGAAATAATATTTATTTAAAAATCCACTAGAATTGTATGATTCGTCTTGAATAATTATAAAGCTAGTTGAATTAAATTTTACTTTCTGAAACCGACGTTAAAATATTTAATAAATGAAGACAAAGAGCATAAGCTTGAATTTTGTTAAATTTTGTATACGTTATTTTTTTTATTTATTAAGAAGAAATAAAGAGAATAAAAAAAATAATTTATGTAGGATACATAAATATTTTTTTTTTTGAGAATGAGATTTTTTAATGAGAAATTAGAAGCTTTACAAACCAAAACTAAGTTTCACAGAGAAATTATAATTATATACAAACACGACAGCAGAACGGTAGACAAGTAGGTAATATAATATTTAACAGATGTTAGTTTTCATAAATTTTTATATATAATTTCAAACCTTTTGTATATTGCATTTGTTGGAGTGGGCACAATCTTTACATAACGTCGAATTATGTGTTGCGGGTTTTGGTTTTCTTTTTTTTGATTTGATTGCTTTTTCTTTACTATTCGGGTCGTCTTTGGCTTTTCGAATATCATCCGCAGATTTCCAGAAGTTTTTAATTTCATTCTATTATTAAATATAACAGTTATTATTGTAAATGAAATAAAAATAGAGGAATTTTTAATATGATTTATGTTATATAAATTTTAGTAATTCACCTGAGAAAAACTGTCACTCGAGTTCGATCCGGAATTTGATTCATTGTATTGTAATTCGTGGTTGTCGGAAAAACATTCGCTTGATAATTTCGATTTTGCCAATTCCCGTTGTTCCCGCTCCCGTCTTTCATTTCGCTAAAAGTCACAAGATAAAATATTTTAATGTTATATTTTATATTTTAGAAAAATAAACAACAACACATACCTCTGAACTAAACCCTTCTACCAAAATAGCCACAAGTAAGTTAAACAATACATAATTGCCGAATGTCATCAATGCGACAAAGTACAACGCGGCCCAGTGGCTTGTTTTTTCCATTCCATTAAATAAAACAACGTTCCAATCTTCTTGTGTCAACACCTGTAAATATCGCAGAGGGGGATTACAATTTGTTCAATTGGCCCATTATTCTACCACAACATTTATCCAAAAATATTAAAACTTCAATAAATAATAAGCGAGGTGTGCTGTCACATTGTGTTCAAGTCGTGCCTCATTGTTGTATAAATTGTAAAGTATTAAAACGGTTAACCAAATGAAAATTATAAAAATAAAATCATTGTTAGTACTGAGCGTGTTCGTATTATCAAGTTTGCTAGTGTTAGTGTTAAAATCACATTGTTTCAAACGTAACACAGACGGCGGTTGGAGTACACAAGCAAAAGGGGGCATTACCTAATTTACAATTTACGAAGCAAGATGCACTAACTACAAAGCGTTCCGCACTAAATATTTCTATTTAATAACAGTCTAATTACAAACATAATACATCAACCAATCCGAGTTTCTCGTGTCTTATCGCATTCTTGTTGAAATTAAACTTCTCACTGAACGTTAGTAAAAGTTTACGAGAAACGCGCATCTAACTATGTAGGTCGAAAAGGGTCGCAAATAAATCAACAGTGTATCTGTCTACCGGTCTTTCAAAGCTTACCTGAAAGACAGTGACCGTAGCCCATAAGATGTTATTAAAATGTTTTCTGTCACATTCACATTTGGGATGATTCGATATGATCTCAGGGCAAGTACAATCCCTCTCGGTGCCATTGTCTTCGTTGAACTTGCAAAACTTACCACCGAACAAGTACATGCCCAGAATACTGCATGGTGAGCCCGATGAGAAAATGAAAGAAAAACAAAATGCTAGGCGCAAACGCCGCGACCCAACCGTACTCATGATGTTTTTGTGTCCACGATGGTAACACTCTTACACAATAACTTCAGAACATTTATTTGTTCTGTTTTAGATTAAAATATTTTTAAGCGTGTTACCTTCGCTAAAATTCACTACTAACAGTACAGTTAATACCTATGAAATATTGTTATAACGTATTTATTACAATGTTATTCTGTGCAACTTCCCCAATAAAATATTAATATTAACATTCATCTTTATATACTGCCTCATTAAGAAAACGATAGATGCCATAAAAGTATAGAAAAGAAAGTGCAGAGTTCATTCTTTAAATTCAGTCATAGTGATTTGCCATTCATAATGCATTCGTGAGGTGTAACGTAATGCAGATAAAAATTTAAATAAGGTGGGAAATCACAGGAATAGGCAAGTAAGTATGCAGGAAAAATTTCGGAAACAAAATTGTCTCAAAATAAAAACGTGCGAAGTGATGCTATTTTAAGATTTAAATTTTATAAGATTATTTAAAATAGTCGTAAAATAATAGAAGCAGCATGCGAAGTGACAGATAAAATTGTTAAACCTGAGTATAGTTGTAATATTGGCCATAGAAGACCTGACAAAGGTATTATCCGCGACTCGGTTCGATCGACCTCACTCTACCCTACTACTCAACAAAGCTACCTAATATATTATGTGCTCGTCAACGTGTATGGGATTACTGAACGATATCTCGTTATATGAATGTGATACTAGATGATGTTGGATCAATTCGTAAGAAATGCTTGCTATTTGTTTTCTATGCGACACTATGCTAGCTGTTATGCGACGGAACGCCTGTCACTATGGTGCAAGGGTATATGTTTGTGATAGGATACGTATACATTCAAAAAGAATTAGATAATTATTCTTGCAGCATAGTGGATGGATTGTGTACTCGCGTGGTTAGTAGATTAGCCGTCACATGACAATTCATGGTTAAAAGAAAGGTCTGTCGTGAGTGTAGACTGCTGACCGACCCGAAGGTAAGCGTTAAGTATATTGCAAGTTCTGTCTGTTTTTGAATTGTTTATTAGGATCTTTAATTCAAAATGTTCAATACCTGAAATACTGTGACAAAGGCCCACAAGAGAGTATCAAAGTTTTTTCTGTCGCAATCAAGATCGCCATCTTCATCTTTCTTGCAGAATTTGCACCCGAAGAGGTTCATACCGAGGATGCTGAACGTTACCACGCAATATACCATTAGATAAAGGAACGGTTACTTAATTTCTTTTGATACAATAAACAGAAAGAAACGAAATAATTATATCTAAAATGATTAGTGATAGTGAAAATAAAACTAGTGTAGATAAAGCGTTAAAGCGTGAGGAAATCAAAATTATAATAAATTGAAGAGAATATTGTAAATAGTGTGAATAGTAGTGTTTAGTAGACATGTTTAACTAGGAGATATAAACACAGGATAGAGAGAAATAGGTGAAATCACTCACAGTTAAATAGTGCACAGGTTAAAGGATGCGGGTGTAACAGTTAAGTAGAAAATTTCATTTTATGTTTGGATCCAGATAAATCTTCGTTTGCTATGAAAGAATGAATTGGCTGTAAAGCGATCGGTTTAACCATCTGCTTTATTCTACTGAAGCAAGTAGTAACTACAGGGATAAATGATATTCAATATAAGGAGACAAAGCTGTGATTGGATGTCGAAATTTTTGAAGATATTGTTGATTCGTGGAAACACGTAAATATAGATTAAAAAGTCCGGATATTTTAGATAGTTCTGAGTTATTTGAAGGCGGAGTAGAAGATTCCCCTGAAGAGTTGAAAATACTAATATAGCAGCAGTTTTATGTAATTTAACAAGATTTTTTTAATTCAATATTAATATGAAGTTTTTGTTTTATTGTTGGTATTTATATCATGCATTTTATTTGATCGTTTGTTTATATTAATTTTATAAATTACCCCTTTAAATCCCCATTAATAAAATGGAAGCCTTAAAGGCTGTTAATATTTACCTGAATATGAAGATAAACAGAACTAGTAACGAGAAAAATACAGCGACATTATCCATTGTTCTCAGCATGACGAAGAGTTGTCTTCTTAGATTTGGCATAAAACGGACTAGTTTCAATATTCTAAGTAATCGAAATGTACGCAACACTGATAGCCCTGAACTTCCTGCTAAGTCTTGCTCATGTCCCACACTTTGTGTAAGCTCAAATGCGCTGTACAAATTGAAGGGAGTTAAAAACGAAAACAAAATAGTAAAACATGAATAACCTCTAAGAACAATACCTCAATATTACTATGACACCGTCAAACACATTGAACCCATTAGAAATGTATTTGAAAGGACCTTCTGAAATTATTTTAAGAATCATTTCAACAGCAAATATTGCTGAAAACACAACGTTACTGATTTCCACGATGACTGTCAGTTCTTCTGGTTGATTGTGATACTCTATTCCCATCGACAAAGTGTTTATGAGAATGGCTAGGAGGATACCTAAAAATTAGAGATTCAATTATTACAATCCTTATTGTGATATATTTCATTAAAGTAAGTATAGATTAAATACCCTGCTGAAAGTATTTGTGGTTGACAATCGCTTTAATGTGTTTCCTTAGCAGCGATAGGAATTTATTGAATCTTTTCCAGAGACGGGAGCAAGCTTTTGTAAATCGATTCTTTTTTGTTTCTTTGGCTGCGGCGTCTGCTGCTATTAGGTCAGCGCAACAAGAAAAGTCTTCAATTTCCACAATCTGTAAGAAGTCCACAAAGTAATGTCCCTACCTAATACATTTTAATTTTATCAAATTATGTTTTTTCTCCTAAAAGCACGTTTGTTTATGAGTATGTTTTTTATGAGATGCAAGGCAAAGGAGCAGGTGGGTCATTTAGAATTAGATGCTAACCACCGGCCATGGACACCTGGAACACGTACAAGTGTGTTGCCAGCCTTTAAAGTCGTGATAATTATCGAAAAATAATCAAAAATACAATCATTACAAAATTACTAAATCAAATGTAGAAGTTTTACCCTGGTGTCTGACTTCTCGTCACCAGCTCGTTTACTGATGCCCTTGGTGAGTTCTTCAAAGAAGGAGTCCAAAGCCACCTGTCCCGTAGGTAGCGCAGCGGATAGAGCTCCAGATAGAGCCAGGAGCTCCTGACAAGACATAGTTCCACCGGCGGCTGCTCTCTCTTCGGCCGACTCTGCCGGCAGGTCGAATTCTACGCCCCGCAAATAAGTATCGCTACAGTGCAATTCTACTATTTTCATATGCATATCTAATCGTATTAACATCGTATTTTCGTTTCTATTTCTAACAACTATTAATTTACATATAAAACCACGAGGCTTTTTTGTATAACCTTTACATGATTGTTTTATAAACCGCTTTAATTACGCTATACGTTTTCATTATAAGCTTTTTATAAATTTGAGGACTACTTAAATGATCCTAATCCTTGGGATTGAATTGCTCCAGTTCAAACAATTTGTATGACAATACTTGGCGATTAAAAAGAGTGGCGGAAAGTTTCTTGCCAGTTCTTCTTACCCGCTCTACGCCCTTGACTTGCGAACTGGTAGTAAATGTAAATTTACGATTAATTTAACTTGACGATTCAAAAGTGTACTTGGTTACCTACTTGAATAAAGATATTTTGAGTTTGAGTTTGAGTTTGAGTTTGAGTTTCATTATGATTCGCTAGTTTCGGAAAAGAAGATTTAGAAAGGAAAAAGACATGGTATAGGATAAGACATTCATGCCCGTCTAGATCTACTCTCTCTCTAGACTTACCACTTTGGCTCTTAAGCCAGTCACGTTGACTCAATGAATCTATAAAATTTTACTCATCATTAACATAGGAAATGAAATTCACAAGATTAAGGAAGATAAAATAAGGTCAAAACAGTTTCGAATTCAGATAATTGTTTAAGTATACGCACCGGTCTGTGTCATTTTCTCCGAGGAGCACAGATTATTGGGGTGAGCCAAATGGGGTGCGTTCGGAGCATGAAGTAGTACAGTGTCGCTAAACATCACTGAAGACCGACGTCGGGCGAGCGAAGGCGGAGATAGTAGCGAGAGATTGGATGCATTCTAGATTAATTGAAATTCGTTGTCATTTCATTTTAATATACATACAGTTCTCGTTAATTGTGTACGTCTAATGTAATCTTAAAGAGTAAAATACATCTTGTTTTCAAACGCAAGTTCAGTAGTAACCTAGTATTAAAAAAAATATCTACACTTGTATAACTTCATGAAAACCAATTTGGAATTTGGTCAGTATTTATCTGTGAATACTTTAAATTAATTTTTGATTTATAAGGTTTTATATATTAATTTATTAATACTCTTCTTAGAATGGAACATTGTATCGTTAAATATTAATATCAAATACAACCAGTGTTCTAACACATACAAATTCGTTTAAGGCACAGGTGTTGTAAACGAAATTATTTCGTTTATTACCTCAAGATCGGCTGCGGAGAGCGAGGGAACGCGCAACAGGCTGGGTCTACTTAGTGGCTCTTCTACGTCCTCCGTATTTTTTCCATTACCCTGTTCACATTTTATTTAGTATTATTACATACTCTATGAAACGCTTTTACATTTAAGAGCATTATGATTTTGTAACACTCGGGGTATGTTTATTAAATTGCTCTTAGTTGTCTTCTAACTAGAAAATTTAAAAAAAAGGCAAAAAAAAAATTAAAATTAAATTAAATCAAAATTAAAGGCTCGTCGAGTATTAAACTCTAAATATCATTAAATTAATTATGCTTTCATCACTGCGACAAGTCTCATGGCCAAACCTAGGCGCAAATAAGACGTATAACCAAACTTAAAAGGTGACCAAGAAATAGGTAAATGCCTGCTACAGATTGCAAGACTCCTTACTAATGCAGCTAAACATAGTAAGCTTAAAGAAAACAATTTACACAACTACCTGTGGATGTAGTTTGGGACAGCGCGGGTGGTGTTGTTTCGGTCGATTAGCTGGCAACTGCAAAGTTTCTCGGCTTGTGCGCCAACGGAGTTGTGCTCGTTGATATCGGTATACTCTACAATAATACAATTCGCTAACTTTCGCGGTGCTATTCATAAACGTAATGTAAACCTCTGATAGTTATAGAAGTTATAAACTTACAATTTAAATAAAATAAGCTGTGGGAGAGTATTCTTAATAGTGTTTATATTTGCTTTATGTATTGCTTTTTATTTTTCAAGTGATTTCAAAATATTCAATACCACTTTACCACTACACTTTTCACAACAAACCTTTTATAAAAAAGGTTTGTTGGGAAAGCTTATTAAGTGCGCATATTCTTAGTGCTGAAATATATTGCTTAGCGCTTAGTTTAAACTTTGAAGGGCGCAGATACCTACAGTCGTAAAATTATGTACGAACAAAATTTGTAATAAAAGTGCGCCGAGCGCATTTGTGAAAGTTATACAAAAATCCATGAAGAAGTTTTTGCGTACTGTCCGCATATTGCGCACATTTTATACATTACATTTTAGCTTAGAGTACCACAAAAACAGTTAAAATTTATTATTGAAGTAATTATTTTACATAGAAAAGTATGTATGCTTTATTTTATTATATAGGTACTTGATAAAGTTATCAGCTGTCTATTAAAATTTATAATATTCCTGTTGACTTGTGAAAACAAACAAAAAGTGGAAATATGAAAGGTTTTGAAAAGCTATATACTAAATAAGGCTTTCAAATTTTTGGAAGAATTGAAATAAAATTATTTAAAACCTTATCTTCTTCGCCATTCTCCGTTTAAATCTTCTCCACAAATGGGCTACGTATTTAACAATTTCTGCATAACAGGTGGCTGGTTCGCTGTTATTTGTAGACGACGCCAAAGTAGATGTCGACGTGAAGCGAGCTCGTTCAACACGCATTCTTTCCATTTCACGTTTCTTCGTCTCACTGAACTGTGTCGCGATTACGACAAGGCAAAGATTGATCATGAAAAATGATCCAATCTGAAATTCGGTTTATTATGAGCCAACATACACTTACAGTATAAGAAAAATGTTTGTAGACCTAAATTTATATCGTATATAGTTGGTAAATTATCCGATAATTTTTCATGAACATGTCAATAATAACAATTCCAAAAACTTTTAGTTAAAAAATATACTCACAACTATCAGCAATACAAAATAAATCCAATCCCAAAAGCTATGTGCGTCCTGTACATAATACATGATATCCGTCCAACCTTCCAGAGATATTACCTAAAAAGCCGATAAATCCGATTACCAATAAATTTCACTTTTTACAACTTTCCCTTAGCAAAAACTTACCAAAAATATTGCGACCCAGGCGAGACCGATGTTGTCGAAGGAAATTGTGCCTTGGAATGGATTCGATCCTCGTTGGGTACAGTTTGTGTAATATTGATTCCAGTTCACGCATGAATTATTTGTGGGAGTGTTGTAAGAGAATGGTCTTGCCGTCTCGTTACACACAACAGGCCCGTATCGGTATGGGGGGAAGTTTCCACATTGATGCATCCCGCTGTCTGCCGGCGTTGTGCAGATGTAATCTAGTTCCTTCGAGAACTCGTAGTAGAAGGAAATGCTGTGAGAGAAATCAAACGATTATTAGAAAATAGGAGCTTAGAGAATATAGCTACTTGCTGCGTAATCCCTTTACTGGCTTTTATATTCATAACAATTCTCGATAGAATTATTAATGTAATCAATAAGGAGGTGGTTTTAGTTTGACATATTTTTGATATATGATGAAAGACGACACATAAAATATACATTTCTAAAAGGAATTAATGTGCTTTACAAAAGCGATGTGATATCCATGAATTCAATAAAAGCGATACACTGAGACCCAATTATGCTAATTCAAGCGTTATAATAAATCATGCGATTATTGAAACGTTCAATGGCATACTGAAAGGTCATGCAGACAATGAAAGCGAAGGGGAAGGATAAAGGTAAGAATAATTAGTACCGGATTTCAATGTAATTGGCGATTAAGGATTATTTGGAGAACCAGGTGAAAGTGAACATTGGATCGTAATGATTAAGGTAACAGTCGATTCTCGTTAATGGCAGTTGGAGCGAACTTTGGACATTAGACTTATGGACTTAATAGTAACGACTAATGATAGCCAAAGTTTCCGTTAAGTATAAACAACACGTTATTTGAGACACAACATATAACGGTTTAACGGATGGAGGTTAAAGCTATGAGGGTTTCATTCAAAATATTTGTTTAGAATGTAATTGTTATATTGTATGCGTAAAATTGTATACATTAGAGTATGAATGTTTACCAAATACTTAAAATGGGTTAAAGTTTTTAGTATAGACTTTTTAATTTATCTTTATTCTGCAATTGTACTTGTTGTCTCATTGCGTCTTTAAGGGCTGCTTCTTTTGCTTTACAAATTAAAAGCAATAAAAAAATATCAGTATATATAATTTGTATGGTTCTGTTATATTCGTAGGAAGGTTCAAAGTATGTGTATATACTGTAAAACATAAGGTAAAAGAGTAAAAGTGTTGTAGTAACAACTGTCGTATTTTCTCAAACTGGCAGTTTTACGTGTACTTGAGTAATTAAAATGAAGGATGAGTTAAGTGTTGTGAAAGAATGTCAAAATAAAACTGCCAGTTTGGAGAGGGAAGCAGATACAAAAGCACATCTGGACGGCAGATGTGTTTAGGTACACGATACAACAAATTTGAACGTTTTTAAAAGAAACACATATTTTCCGAAATTCTTACGAGTTGACTCTGACGCGCACCCTGTACCATTCAGACAGGTCTCTGGAACACAAATTGATGATGTGGTGACGGATGTTATGTTCCTACGATATTCTACTTTTAATTATAATATTATTTAAGTCAAGAATATGTTCCACGTCCCATAAAGAACTCCCACTTGCTACTGGCGTATTTATGGACACATATTTTTAACTTCTATAAAACATTTTCCGAATTAATGGCCAGTTTCTTACTCATCTTACATATATCATGATAAAACAAACCAGAGTTCTAACAAAAGTATGCATGTATGACTGCGTTTAGGATGTTTTATCAAATGAATATAAAAATCGGGCATTGTTTACTGTTTAAAATGAGTTAAATCCATGTGTATGTTATGCAGGATAACTCTAGAATCAAATTTCGCATTATGAATCATGCGAGTGTAACAATTATTATTAGTATTATTAGTATTTCATGTAAATTGACGGAATGCAATATTTAAGTGTTAAATGTAAGCCTCATCGTGCATTGTGTTAAAATTAATGATTTATATGAAATTCAGCCCAGTGCCTGTTACCTAAGCATTAAATATTGCATGCAGTCAACGTTAGCAATGGGACGTGCTTCTAAGGCGATCGAGAGCAAATGGTATAAAATAAAAAACTTCATTTCCATTGCTAGTTACTTATACTACTGCAATTCTCCTGCGGTTTACTCGAGCTAAGAATATTCGAGCTAAATTATTTATCGGACAGACAAATCGTTCTTTGAATTATAATATCGTCATAATAATACTTTAGTGAGTAAAGTTATTGGTCATGCAATTAATAAAAGTGACATACTTGGGCCGAAGCACGTTTGTTGGTAAAACAAGTTCACATCTTTGCCTGAGGATACCCTCCCACAACTGGACACCGACTATACCAAATATGAAGAACACGAAAAAACAGAGGAGTAGGACGTTGCCCAACATAGGCAGTGTGTCCAAGAGGAGCATCACCAGGATACGCATACCTGTAAAGAAAAAGCATTTAGCAATTGGAACAAAACATTCCGTATGCATGGGTACAGCTGAAACATTAATTATACCGTAAATAATCACAATATTTTTAGGTAAACGAAAAATAAAACTGTACGTTCTGATTGACAAACTTCTCCATTTGTTTCTCTGATTATTTTCTCGTTAAAAATCGATAAAAGAGTTTTTTATTTGATTAATCTCTTCCAATTATATCTCTTGAAGTTATTAACGTGCGCGACGCGTACGAATTTACTCACAGAAGCACCGTTTACGCGTGTCTTGCGCACCCTAAATATTATTGCTTGTGAGACGGATGTATTTAGTTGCACACTGGCTGAATTCACAAGAATTGCATTATTTATAGAAATTAGCATTAGTTATAAAAAGGTTTAGGTTTTAAGTTTTTACTTGTTATGTTTATATTATGTTTTTAGTTTCGGATTTCTATTGTGTTAGTATTAAGTTACTGTAAAAATAGGAAAATAAATAAACTTTTAAATAACACACACTAAAATTTTTTGCCCGAAACTGTTTTATTATCAATTTAAATTGAATACTGTGCATGGATACCTGAATTCATTTTTAAATAAATAAACATTGTAAAATAATGATAAAAAAGATAAAATAGTCTTATGATATAAATAGCATACGTTAAATGGATAGCAATAAACATAGTACGCAAGTAATAAATTGTTGGTGGACAAATTAGTGGGTATGTCTAACGCTCGGTGGATTTAATTTGCGGCGCTGCATTGTCCCGCTTGTTTGCAAGTCCCAGGCGAGATTTAAACTTTACCATGCGTCTTTTGTTCAAACCCACAAACTAGCTATTTACCGAACTGTGATTTATGAAAATGTACTTAGTTGTAGAATGGGAATTGTTGTTTGAATTGGTTATGGTAAATTTAAATACATAATTTACTAATGTGGGGTCAATAATAATTGATTCAGATGTTTACTAATGTTTATAAGAAATACTAATAAGCTACACAGAAACTGTAATAAAATAATTTATAATTATGTTATATAACATATTTAAATTGATCAACTATATTATTGTTTTTTATTAAAAAAAGGTTAATGTCTCAATCCGAAATTAAATTGACGGCAAGCGCCAGTAAAAGTGCCGCGTAAACTATTCTTGATACCCTTTCGTTTGTTCAAGTACCGACAAAACTAAATCTTTTGTCATCCTTTTTGTACAGTTGTGAAAAGATTTTCACGTTGATAGTCATTTATACGTTGATTTAACTGTTATTTTGACAATATATTATTTATGGGTTTCTTATCTACCTTTGTTAAGAAGCCAACGAGACAGTTTTACTGCCCACCATATATTAGAATAAAATATATTACACTTTAATTTGTTAAAATTATATCCCAAACACAAAATAATATATGTATATCTGTATCGTTTCTATTTGCTCAAAGACATGTTACTACAGCAAAATATTATATAGTTCTATGTCATAACATTATTGTTTATACAATATTATTTTAAGGCAGAATCGTTTAAGTCCAAGATTGAAAAAATCCATAAACCTTATTTTCCCGAATTGTACTTGTATATACCCAAAGTTATAGTGCATATAAGATGTTTGATAACGCCAGATTGGATTCTGCAAGTGATTTCTCTATGGACCAATAAACCTATATGATTAATGTGGCGGGGAAATCGCATTGTTAAATTTTAATTGACTGAAGTATTAATTATTGAATTAATATAGGATTTATAACGTTATTACATATTAAAATTATTTGTTTTTATACAGCGCAATATACAAGCACTTTATTTTAAAGTTACAAATGCTTTGTGAAACGATGATCTTTGGTAACGTTATTTTAGTCAAGTACAATTTGTTATATGTTATAATTTAATCGGTCCTTTTCTTCCATTTCATATCTAATATTTAGTTAATTATTAAATTATAAAATAGAGATTCGTTATACAAAATAATAGAATATCGATCGCTACATACAAATTAACTTAAATATTCATATTTAATAAAAGAAATTACTTTTGCATTGACTATATGAACGACCTTGAGAAAAAACACTTGTTAATGTATCCTTGAACATTAATGATTACGTCTAAGTAATGTATAAAAACGAGAAAAAGGTCTTAGAAAATTATAAAGGATCTTTCTATGCCGAATTTATTTATATTATGAAAATAATATCTACATTGTGGAAAAGCCAGAACGAAAGCCTGCTGAATCACGTGATCTAATATCGTCTCAATGGAGGCTACGGAATAGGAGCTTCCAAGTTGGGATTAAGTTGAAGTACACTTGTTGCTCGACTCAAGGTTAAGGACCACGACGCTTCGTATAATCTTAATAAGTTTTTGGGTACACTGATTTTAAAAAAGGAATTGTATCTTTTTAAAAATTAATTGACAATTACGATTACCTACAATCTTTTGTGAATCTTGGCCTTCCAATGCACTGTTTGCTTGGTTAATATTTTTTATAAGCAAGTAAGTCAGAATCAGCTTTCTGTACTTAACACGCTGTCAACTGCGAACATTGAAAACTTCATGTTGCAAGGGCGACACTACTTATGCTGTTATTATTTTTCCCAAATTAACACCCCTAGTATGACGCCTGTACTGTCAGGCCTACATTTAATTACATGAACTATCAAATAATTTTGCGTATGACAATATATTTGACAATCTACTATTTTATCTTGACATATCTATTCAAACACGGTGGTGTTAGAACAGATTAAATTAATAAGTAAAATGTCTTATGTACAAAAGTACAAAAATACAAAAATGGTTAAAAAACCAAACCCATTTTTGTACTCTACCAAAACTTATTGAAGTAAAGAAATATTGCATTTGTTATAAGCATAATATATATGGATAGATAGAATATTATGGATGTATTGTACATTTATTTCTTTTCCAATATGAACATACCAACTTCTTAAAATACCTTAAGGGTATTTTAATTGTCATAAGGATATTGCGCATGATAGAAAATAAAGCGTTCTAGAGAAAAATTCCCGTTTTGCGACTTGAGCTTTGTTGCGGTGAAAATTATTTTTCTTTATAACGCTGTTGCACTTAACAACATCAATTTAATGTATTTAATTGTTCAAATTTGCAGAATAATTACGTTTCGTTTGATCGGTCAATCGTATAGTATTATTTATACTCCATTACTGTGATTGAACTATATTGTCTAAACAAAATCACGCAAAACATGCAATCGTTTCGAATTTCATTTTACATTCTTATTCCATGTTTAATTTTGGAAATAATTACAGTATCAGTAGTTAAACATTATTTTTAATACGAATGGAAATTTATGAAATGCTTGAGTAATTTTAACGTTAAACTACGAATTCAAGGTTTTGGTTTGAACTATGATATTGTATTTAAAAATAATATAAATATTATAGTATAATATGTTGTATCAAGTAATTTGTACTTTAAAGTAATATGATACTCAACACTAAACCAATTTGGTAAGCGTTGGTAAAATTTTAATTTAAATATTTTGATCAGTACGCGCGTTTCTATAAATTTACTTATTTACAAATAATAACTATTTAATTTTTAAACAATAAAACAAACGAAGCTATCTGCGATTTGTGCGATTAGATGCTTTTTCGTCAATAAGACGCGTGGAGGCAAGCCATAGACCACAAAAATAAATAATATATTAATACGTAATATTTTTGTACTCACTTGGTATCCTGTTTATAGCCCGAAGCGGCCGAAGTACCCTGATAGTTCTTATCGCCGATAGATTTATATTTTCCACGTTCAGCGCATATTCTAGTGCCCTGTAAAAAAGACAGGTAATAAATATTGGTCTTGCTTTTCCACTTGAGTACTTATTAAATATAGCACACATCTTTGTGGGAACACGTATATCAATTTAATAATAATAATACTCGTCAGCATTATTCGTAGCAACACGTTTATATAGAAAAACTGTAATGATCTGAGATCTTCTGGTACATTGTATAATTTTATTACTGACCTGGCAGTTCCGCCATATAAAGATTATTACATAGTATTGTCTTTGATTAACATAACTTTTATTCATTTAATAAAACACTATTTTGACCGGATTGAAGTTATGTATTATTATAAATTTACAACTATTTAACATAATTTTAAATAGTTGTAAATTTATAATAATACATAACTTCAATCCGGTCAAAATAGTGTTTTATTAAAAGATTATTACAGTACTAATTAAAATAGTTTAGGTCCTATACAATTTAATATTAAAATAGTTTAGGTTTTATCTACAGAGAAAAGAAAATCTAAAAGATTTTTTTAAATAAAATTCGGTCAAGCCGTTTTGGGAGTTTGGAGGAGTAGTACACAAACACGAGTGCAAACTTTGTGACGTGAACACTGTGACGAATTTAATATATATATAGATATCTGGAATAAATTTATATTTGTCTATAATTAACATAATATAAGAGTTAGAATCATATGGAAGTATTATAGTTAGATCTACAGCCAAAAAACTAGCCTGGCCGCAAAATTTTAATACTGTCGAGCCCCTAAACACTGTACTGATATTTTACTATCTCATTCTCTAACCTATTAAAATATTATATATATATCAAGTAATAAGGCTGGTATTAAAATAATGCAAATATAGTTAGTCACGGTAATCAAAAGTCGGCAAATAGTAAAAATATCTCTAAAAACGTCTCTACGTATCTAATTTATCTGGCCAATTTATTTGCTGGAAACTATACTTCACTAAACTTACCCAGCAAAAACAATGAAAAAGTCCAGTCTATTCCATGAATCCGCGAGATAAGTGCCGTGGCCATACACACCCATTGCAACCATTTTTATAGTCAACTCCAATGCGAAAAAGGCAAATATTATGTCATCAAAAACCTGCGAAGTTAAGATATATTTGTTACAGCCCTATTATAACAACACTCTTGAAACGTTTAATGATTATATCAAAATGCTGCTACATTTTTCTCTTCTTCTTATATGTAACTAAAGCTCAATTTATATAAAATGCCGTATAAATTCATAATTTTGAGAAAATGATCTAGTACAAGGTTCTACGCATTATAAAGCATTCCATTTTCGAATTTGGAATGCACTATATTTGATTTTATATTTTCAGCCAGCATGTTGATTTTTTTGAGATTAAAAATATTAGCAACAAAAACCTTCCGCCAAAATATTTGTTACCAGCCAGCATGACAGCTGTATAATCTGAATAATTATTATAGCTATGATTATAATTTACCTGTAGTATTTTACATCTATTTGTTACACACTGGTCATCGACGCAGGGCTGGTACATGCCGAGGGTCACGCAGTTAAGGAAAATCACCAACATTGATATTCTTTCGAACCATGTGCATTGGAGTTAAGAATATATTTTTAATATAAGTATATAATATTTAAAATTTTAATCTTTATACATAAGCAATTGAAAAGTTTCCAGTTTGTACTATAGAGAACTGGTAATAAAAGTTTTGAGTATTATTCAACAATTTTTCAGTTTCATAGGACAAGTTTAAAATTTATAAATTAATTTACAGGAAACTCAAAAATAGAGTGTTAAAACTTTTCAATCAGTTTTCTATAGCAAAGTTAGAGGAAAAACGTTCTTCAACAAAGTTTATAGACACTCCACAGATGGGTTAATAGGCAACTTGAATTTTTAATTAAATGTAAAGAACGCTCGAGTCTATTTAATTGAATCTCAGGATCGTTTACTTCGGCTCTCATTGGTGTTGTTAACTTTGATATTAGCATTCAGTAGTTTGCTACCGGTTTAATTTTAAACTTAAATATTTTCTAGATTTGTTCTGAATAAGTTCCATTTTTAAAAATTATTTAATAATTTGAACACAGAATTAACTGCGTAATGATAAATTATAAAGTACTTCAATTTAGAATAATTCTTGATCGGTATTTCTAAAGGGACAGTTATTATTACTTTTTAAGTACCAACACTGATGTTATGTGACTTCTTGGATGCGGCTTGCACAGCGGTGCAAGACGAAACAATGACGTGTTAAATTCATCTGTCATTGGGCGTGTTCGGCCGAAGTAAGTACTTACTAAACTTAGTAAGCCAGTAAGCATAAAAAAATTAAAGTCTTACAAGCTGACTGTAGTGTATTGACTAAATAAAGTGTTACTTGGTTGTCTCATGCGCCTACGTCACTTGTCAGTTGTCAGACTGTCAGTCGTAATCCGACACCCGATCGGAGCGGTTGTGTGTAGGACGTTTGTACAAGTGTTGTGGTGTTGGTGAGCCGTAAATCACTCCAAGAAGCAGGACATTACATGTGGCGACGAGGAAAAAGTGAGTACACATAACAAAAAAAAAAGGGAAAGATACGGTGCACTAAACAATTAGTGACGTCATTCCCATACTTTGCCTATAATTTACTATGACCCGGTTGTTTTAATCATTAGCTATTGATAGCAGAAACAGTTGCATCTTGACTTCTGAACGAATGTAGATAATTTTATTGTTGACGGGAAATATGAACAGTACTTAGGTACTTATTGTTTTCATATTTCATAAATGTTTTGCTTGTATTACAATATTTAATATTGTCGTACCTACATTTAAACAGTAAGCAACAAACCTCTGCAATTACTGAGCTAAGGATATAAACAAATAATTACCTATAGGTTCAGCTAAGCTAAACTACGGGTACCTACGTACATTGAATGTACGATTGTTTTGTAGCACCTACCTATATAGTGATAGAAATATATTGTACTAGTAGACCGGCCAAGCGTTGCTGTGGCTAAGGATTTTGTTATATTACAAAGTAGTAAACGGGAAAGGGAAACGGTAGGAGTACACCAATCGTGGGGACCACCATGCTTTATGTTGGTTATTAAATTGTAGAAACGTTGAAAGAATTTATGAAACGTTGGTACTTTTAACACAGCGCCATCTGTTAGAATGGTGACTATTAAATAAGACACAAATATTTTGCAATAAAATTATATTGCAGGTTTAAATTGAGATGTATCCTATCTTTTAAGTTGGACCAAACTACACACGGTGTGCAAATTTGATTGATATCGGTTCGGTAGTTTAGGAGTCCATTGAGGACAAACATTGTGACACGAGATTTATATATATTAAGATTATGCTTGTGTTTAGTGATGTTTCTATTTGTCTACAAAAATAATAATAATAATAAAAATAATAGCAAGGTTTATTTACAACCGTTGACCGTTAAATCGGTAGGTACCTGTCTACCTAACTAACGCAGATTTAACAAAGACCCTAAATTGGATCTGGTTCACTAAATTAATTAAACTATGTGGTTGTGATTAATACTGTAAAACAAATGGGAGTATCTACTGAAAGCAGTTGGAACCCAACTGATCATTAAATTGATGCCAGTAAATAAAAATAAAAGCAGACTAAAAGTCTGATCATTAAATTGATGCCAGTAAATAGAAATAAAAGCAGACTAAAAGTCTGATCATTAAATTGATACCAGTAAATAAAAATAAAAGCAGACTAAAAGTCTGATCATTAAATTGATATCTGTAAATAAAAATAAAAGCAGACTAAAAGTCTGATCATTAAATTGATACCTGTAAATAAAAATAAAAGAAGACTAAAAGTCTGATCATTAAATTGATACCAGTAAATAAAAATACAAGCAGATTAAAAGTCTGATCATTAAATTGATACCAGTAAATAAAAACAAAAGCAGACTAAAAGTCTGATCATTAAATTGATGCCAGTAAATAAAAATACAAGCAGATTAAAAGTCTGATCATTAAATTGATACCAGTAAATAAAAACAAAAGCAGACTAAAAGTCTGATCATTAAATTGATGCCAGTAAATAAAAATACAAGCAGATTAAAAGTCTGATCATTAAATTGATACCAGTAAATAAAAACAAAAGCAGACTAAAAGTCTGATCATTAAATTGATGCCAGTAAATAAAAATACAAGCAGATTAAAAGTCTGATCATTAAATTGATACCAGTAAATAAAAACAAAAGCAGACTAAAAGTCTGATCATTAAATTGATATCTGTAAATAAAAATAAAAGCAGACTAAAAGTCTGATCATTAAATTGATGCCAGTAAATAAAAACAAAAGCAGACTAAAAGTCTGATCATTAAATTGATGCCAGTAAATAAAAATAAAAGCAGACTAAAAGTCTGATCATTAAATTGATACCTGTAAATAAAAATAAAAGCAGACTAAAAGTCTGATCATTAAATTGATACCAGTAAATAAAAATACAAGCAGATTAAAAGTCTGATCATTAAATTGATGCCAGTAAATAGAAATAAAAGCAGACTAAAAGTCTGATCATTAAATTGATACCAGTAAATAAAAATAAAAGCAGACTAAAAGTCTGATCATTAAATTGATATCTGTAAATAAAAATAAAAGCAGACTAAAAGTCTGATCATTAAATTGATACCAGTAAATAAAAATACAAGCAGATTAAAAGTCTGATCATTAAATTGATGCCAGTAAATAGAAATAAAAGCAGACTAAAAGTCTGATCATTAAATTGATACCAGTAAATAAAAATAAAAGCAGACTAAAAGTCTGATCATTAAATTGATACCATTAAATAAAAATAAAAGCAGACTAAAAGTCTGATCATTATATTGATACCTGTAAATCAAAATAAAAGCAGACTAAAAGTCTGATCATTCAATTGATATCTGTAAATAAAAATAAAAGCAGACTAAAAGTCTGATCATTAAATTGATACCAGTAAATAAAAACAAAATCAGATTAAAAGTCTGATCATTAAATTGATACCAGTAAATAGAAACAAAAGCAGATTAAAAGTCTAATCATTAAATTGATACCAGTAAATAAAAAACAAAAGCAGATTAAAAGTCTGATCATTAAATTGATACCAGTAAATAAAAACAAAAGCAGATTAAAAGTCTGATCATTAAATTGATATCAGTAAATAAAAATAAAAGCAGATTAAAATTCTGATCATTAAATTGATACCAATAAATAAAATAAAAGCTTTACAATAAAATTATTATTGTACGTTAGTGGGTACTAACTTAGCAGATTAAAAATCTGATAATTCAATTTATACGTTTTTTGGTATGGACAGCTTAAGTAGATTTATGCGGATAAAAATATAATCCGATCATTAAATTGATACGAGATGGAAGCATCTGAGATCAAATCTAACGGCAGATACATAGATATCTGAATCATTAAATTGATAATTCCTGGTCGCCCCAAAGATGTCACTCCTTTCACTGGAAAAGTTCGACTGTAACGGTAAATCTACCTCAATGGGTGCACGATGGGAGCAATGGAAACGAGCACTATTCATTTACCTCGAAGCGTCTAACATTGACGAAGACGTAAAGAAAAAGGCATCTCTCGTACATTTCGGCGGGCTAGACTTACAGGAAGTGTTTTACAACATTCCTGGAGCTAATGTCGAACCAACTGAAGGCAAAGACGTGTTTGAAGTAGCAATATCTAAACTTGATGCCTACTTTGCACCAAATCAGAACAAAGTATACGAGAGACATATATTCAGGCTCCTTAAACAAGAACCTGACGAAAAAATTGAAATTTGTGGTGAGACTGGGAAAACAAGCTGATAAATGTCAGTTTGCCGACAGAGATGAAAACATTATCGACCAAATAACGAAAAAATGTTTTCTACCCGAACTGAGAAAAACGATATCACAGATTGGGGATGAAATTACATTAGAGCAAGTAATCACCGAAGCAAATACTCTTGAAGTTGTTAATAAACAATTAGACGAGTTTAAAAACCCACTGAAATCAAATGAGAATCAAGAAGTAAACAGGATGGATAGTAAATTTAAAAGAAAAGTCGTTTCGACAGGAAGAAGAACTTAAACAGGGATATTATAGAGCCGATAGTGGGTTCTTCTAAATGGGTGTCCCCTGTAGTGCCGGTGCTGAAAGGAAATGGAGCCATTGTACGAGAAAATTACCCATTGCCGACGATGGACAAGTTGCTACCTAAAATGAAAAATGCAAAAGTATTTACAATATTGGATATTAAAGTCGCATTTCACCAACTTGAAATAGATCCTGCTTCAAGAAACAACCACCTTTATAACCAGTAAAGGCTTATTAAGATACAAGAGAGTCATGTTTGGCATATCATGTAACCGAAAACTGGGGACCAGAACAAAAGGGGTATTTTAAGTCGTTGAAGGAAATCATGACAAATATTCCTAGCTTAGGGTATTATAATGTTAGCGATCGTACGATTGTCATAGCAGATGCTAGTCCTGTGGATTTAGGTGGAGTTTTAGTTTAAACTAATTCCAAATGTGAGCCCAGGATTATTGCATATGGCCACAAAAC